GAGAGCCCTTGGGTCTCTTTGGGGTGTCAGAAATGGTACTTGTTGAGGTGCCCGAAAGTGTTAGGACCCTTAGGGAAGTAGGGTAACGATACTTATAACGTATAACCCATATTCGGGGATTTATAACCCCACTTAGAACTACCCGTGAACCTCCAAGTAACGGTCCGTGGGGGATACGTGTCCAAACCATAATTGCAATTCCTAGGTTAGGGAGGGCCCTTTGGGGTTATAAATCCGTTCCTCGACAACTGTCTGGTGCTTAGTAGGGAATGGGGGAATGGGTTATTGGGACTAATCTAAGGGACCTTAAGGGACTATCATAGGGATCCATTCCCCCATTCCCTACTAAGCACCAGACAGACAAGTGCCCAGTTCTGCGGCACGCGTTCCGTATGCAGGAACCTCGGCGTTGCCCAACATTGTACCCCGGGATGTCGAACCCAAATGTTTTGAGTTTCTTGGTCCGTTGTAAGTAATATGCTGAGGGGATTATGTTGCAATCTTTTGTAGGTGTAGATGGGGTCGCTTTGGAACATTAGTAGTTCAGATGTGGGGTGGCATTATGGGGATACTTATGGGTCCCTTATGGGTATACCCTTCATAAAGAAGCCCTACAGGAGAACAAACCTCTTCGTGATCGCAGCTGAAGTACAAATAGAAGACAGCAGCAACAAAACCACGGATTTGGTTGTCAAAGACGTGAACCAGTGTCTAATGCGTCCTTGTTGTATCCTAGTCGGCTCGACTGGGCGTACGATTTCACCCTAAACCCTAAACACCTAAACCACGAAACCCTAAACTCTAAAGCCCGTATAGCCCTAAGTCATGAACACCATAAGCCCAATAGGCCGAAACATTACCCTGTACAACCTCATAGAAGCCGTTGGTAGACCCTAACTGGCGTAACCGGCCCTTACCCCAAGGGTAAGCTCTGACATGTTAAGGATGTTAAGGATTTTGTGCCCAAAGACCGTACTCTATGATAGCTAAGATTAGAAGTCTGGGTCCCTAATATGGACCCTTAGGCCTTCTAGGGGGAGGGGTACATATAGGGTATATAGTAGGTATATAAGGATCCCAGGGTTAAGGGCCCATACTAGGGGCCCATGGTTCCCACCTTGGTCTATGAGGCTCCGGGCTATTTGGACCCTTCGGGTAAACTCTCGAAGGCTGAAAGTTGAGAAAACCTGAACGACCCCACAGAATATTGCACCTCAAAGTCTCCTTAAACCCTATGAACCTGAAGCCCTGAGCCCTAAACCCTAAGCCCTAAGCCCTAAGCCCTAAACCATAAACCCTAAACCCTAAACCCTAAGCCCTAAACCCTAAACCCTAAACCCTAAAGAGCCCCAAACAAACATAAGGCGTTGTGAAGACGGCCGCTGCCGCCTTCCCGGATGTGGCGGTTCAATGCCAGGCCGGAGACGGAAAGGGTTTAGGGTTTAAGGTTGGTAGGTTGGTTTGGGGTTTAGGGCTTAAGGTTTAGGGTTTAAGGTTTAGGGTTTAGGGTTTTAGGTTGGTAGGCTGGTTTGGGGTTTAAGAAAGGGTTTAGGGTTTAAGGTTGGTAGGTTGGTTTAGGGTTTAGGATGTAGAGTTTAAGGTTGGTAGTTTGGCTTTAGAAGGGGGTTAGGGTTTAGGTTGGTTGGTTGGTTGGTTTAGGGTTTAAGGTTGGTGGTTCGTTTAGGGTTTCGGGTTTGAGGTTTAGGGTTTTGGCTTCAGGGTTTAGGGCTCTAAACTCGGGTTCCCTATTTGGGGGACCCAAAAAGGGATCCTAATTTAGGGTTCACAGATTCAAACTTCCCTGAACCCTACTTTCACCCATCTCGGGGTGTCTGGCGGCGTCCTGGGGCTCGGGGGACGATAGGGCTTATGGACCTTATGGAGTGTAGGATTTAAGAACCTACGGCTGATGTCAAATCCTGCATTACCTAGGGTTTAGGGTTTAGGGTTTAGGGTGATGATAAATCCTGCATTACCCATAACTAGGAATATACCATAATTCCCATAGCTTAAGATAGGGTCCTTAAGGTAATGCAGGAGTTATTTCTTCAACAGTATGTGGTGGGTGACGCTGCCGTGCTCTGTACGCCTGATAGAATCCAAGGTTCCCCTACCATGAACCCCCAAACCCCCGCATGCTAAGCCACAGTTCAGGGTTTAGGGTTTACGGTTTTGGGGTTTAGGGTTTAGGGTTTAGGGATGTTTAGGGTCTATATATATATATATATAGAGAGAGAGAGAGAGAGAGAGGTTTAGGGTTCCTGCAATAACGAGGCCTGCAACCTGAAAGGACCGTTAAATCTTACACTCCCCAGAGGCTCCATGTTAGCAGGGTTTCAGGTTCCAGAATCCATAGCCTGAGGGGTTTTGGACCTTCGAAACCTGCTCTACTTGGGGCTCTATAGGCCCTAAGCCCTAAGCCCCCAACCTTAGCCGCTATAGCCCCTAGCCGCCCTAGCCCTAAATCCTGACACTCTACAAGGCCTAGCTAAACCCTACGCCCTAAACCATAAACAGTACACGCAGCAAGCCCTATGTAGTACCTCAGGTCTGTTGTAGGATCTGCTATGGTCCTTGATTCTGGGTGCTCAGGGCTTTCCGCACAAAATCGGGGGTAATTTGGGGATCCAGCAGACAATCAAGAGGCTTTGGGCAGGATGGGTCAGGGAGGCAACTTGCGTGACTTGAGCCAGTAGCCCTAAACCCTAGACCTCTAAACCCTAAACCCTAAACCCTAAACCCCTAAACCCCTAAACCCTAAACCCTAAACCCTATTATAAACCCTAACTCCTAAACCCTAAACCCTAAACCCTAAACCCCTAAACCCTAAACCCTAAACCCTAAACCCTAAACCTTGATGGTTTGACCTCGCAAGGATGGGTCAAGCAAGGCAGAGGGGTGTTTGTTTTAATCGGGCCGTACACGTATGCCGTGCTGTAGGTGGCTGCTAGCTGTCTATGAGCTAACCCTAGACCCTAAACCCTCAACTGTATGGAGGCTCCAGCGTCGGTTCAGTCGATGTCAGAATAGTGCGAGGTTCTAAACCTGAAGCCCTATACCCAAAGCCCCCTTAAGCAAACCCGACCCCGGAGTAGAGCTTGTGGGGTGTAAGGTTTTGGGGCTTCCAGGTTAGTTTCGTGTTTTGGTTGTCGGGTTCGGGGGCTTAGGACACTTTTTTGGATCTGGGCTTTCTGTTAGTGTTTAGGTAGGTACGCCTGAACCCAAATTGAGGCTTAAACTCCCCAAGCCCTAATTAACAAAACGGTCAAAGACCAAACCGTAAGCCCGTTAAGCCCCCAAGCCAAACTCCCTACACTCTCCTAAACTAAACCCTAAACCCTAAACTGCTTACACACGAAACCCCTGCAAACCCTTCAACCCCCAACCAAAGCCTTAAATTAGTAACATAAAAGCCTAAAGAATTCCCAATATTACTGCGAGGGTTTCTTATTTAAACAGACTATAAGGGAGCCCCCAAAACCCTATTCTAATGATTAGGGCCCCTACATCAAAGCCCTATAAACCCTAGACCGTAAACCCTAAACCCTAAACCCTAAACCCTAAACCCTAAACCCTAAACCCTAAACCCTAAACCCTAAACCCTAAACCCTAAACCCTAACCGCCCAGGAGCTGCTTGACAAGCACCACAAAGGCGAGCTGCGGGCCGTGACGCAGGAGCCGCCCCCTGGGTTTTTTTCGGGTCAGACCGAGTTTTAGAGTTGAGGGCTTTAGGGTTTAGGGTTTAGGGCGTTGGGGTTTTAGGGTCTTCGTGTTTAGGGGTTTAGGGTTGAAGGGCCTCAATGATTAAAGGGTGGTCGGGCCAATTAGCAAATGAGGTCAACAAGGGTGACTAGTAGAAGGGTTTAGTGTAAGGGAACTGCTCTAGAGGTGATTGGTTGTAAGGTTTCGAGGAATTGGGGTTTAGAGTTTAGGGGCTGAACTGTAAAGTGACGGAACTGGGGTTTGGGGTTTGAGGTTTTAGTGTTTTTAAAAGGTTGTTAGGTGTGTGTCTGTGTGTGGCTGTGTGGGCGGATCTGAATGTGAGTGTGTTTGCAATTCTCAAGGTTTTTAGGGTGTCCAACCTTTTCGCGCAGGGTTCGGGGATTGTAAACAAACCCTAAACCATAAACCTTCACCTTTATCGACAGCTTAGGGGTTTTCGGGTCTCAGGGTTATTGAGGGATAAGGGTACTGCCTTTAGGGTACTATACTCGTATTTTTCGACCCCCCCCCCTTCCGGAAAGAGAGTTTAACTAAACGCTTCTGGAAAGTGGGCCAAAATGTCTAAAACAAAAACCTAAACCCTTAAGCCAAACCCCACATCCTAAATCCGAAAACAGCCTGCAAATCAAAAGATCGGGAATCGCTCAGCCCACGCGCCCCGGCGAGCCAGGAAGTGTCCGGCATTGAAGACCACATTGAGGTCTCCGGCAAACACAAAGTCCTGGGCTCTCGAAACAGCTGTTCTGAGGGTTTTTTGTGGCACTTCATAGACTTTGCTATGAGGGTTGCTCAATCATTTTATAAAGTGGTTATCAGGGTCGTTCAGGAAATTAAAAAAATCCTGTGGTGTTACCTGGGTTGCTATGATCTAAATCTAAACTCTTCAAACCAAAATTATGAGGCTAAACCCTAAACCCTAAACCCCTGCACCCTAAACCCTAAAACCCTATGAGTCCTCATAAGTTTTACCCGGGTCATCGGCTCCGCGGAGTCGGGTTTAGGGCTTCTGGGCTCTGAAGGGTTTCCGCAGATGTTCATGAACTCGGTCTAGGGTTTAGGGATCCTAAAGACATGACCGGGAGTTTCCGAAAGAACTAAACTTTCCAAAAGAGATAGCTGGGAACTTCCTAGAGAAATCCATGGGACTTGATTTTTCTGTGGCGCCCAGCGTCTTTTCCAAGGTCACAGGCCCACTGCAAGTCTACACCATCGGAGATGAAGAGGGAGTCGGCATCCATCCAAAAGACGAACTCTGCACCTTTCTTCAGGAGCTCCAGTACCTCGACTTAAGGTTTCAGGCTTTAGGGCCCTGGAGGGGTTTCTCGACAACCGCACCTGCTGGTCCCTTTCTGGACTATGTTCTACTCTGGACATTCCCGGGGTGCGCTTCCGAAACTGCGCAAAAAGGTGATATGAACCTTCGACTCGAAGTAGGAACATGCTTGCACAATTCGAACATACTCGAAACTCTTGTTACTTGGGAAGTGCAAACTCCTGTGAAGAGCATGCATACTGTAGGCGCATTAATGATTAGAATAGGGTTTTGGGCTCCTTCATAGTAAACTTATAATATGTAACCCCCAAAAGAATATAGGTAATTATGAGGCCCCTATATTACATACAAGGCACATGCGGAAGTTTGGACCAGGTGGGATCAGTTCTACCTGCGACGTTCTCCTCAAGGCAGGCGTACGTGTAGCCATGTAGTGCGCACCATCGCTCGTGATTCCTTCCGGGGAGGCGCCGGCTGTCCAAAGAGTCGGGGTTTATGCTGGGCTCCGTCGCAAAAATCCCGAAATCAAGTTATCACAATACACAAAAACGAGCAAGTGGATAATCGGATGTCCCCATCACGGAAACAAACACTGGGAAATTCGGGCTCGTAGATCTAAGGCTCAGGTTTGCTCCCTGGACTCCTGATGTCTGCGGTTTGAAATCCGTTATTGTTGAGTTTGGTGAGTTGTCAGCCCCGAACGAGCCAGCCTCATGACGGCCTTAGGATGGTAGTAAAAAGATAAATACGAACAAAGGCAAGGCACCTCTTTGCGATGCATTCGGTTGATTGTTCTGACTCAGCCTAAGCGACACAGTTATCGGAACCCTCCTCATTCGAAAGGGAATGTCGTTAAATCAGACCTTTGGAGCTTTTCGGACACCCCCACTGCGAAATTCATGGGTTTAGGGTTTAGGGTTTAGAACAGCTAGTAAAATCAATGTCGAGACTTAGAGTGCGGGAAAGAAAAGTATGGCATACCCCAAAATTAGCTTCGAAGTAATTGAGCCTCCGCAAACCCCTAAATCTCGGTACCTACAACCCTAAGCCCTGAAGCCTAAAGCCATAAACCGAAAACCTAGACTCTGAACCACACCGACACACAACCCAGGCCAGTTTCCGTCGCGCAGGGAGCATGGTCTGCGCAAACTCGCGCCCGGCAAAGAGTGAGGCAACCACAACACGCGACCGTGGCTGGGACACCTGCTGCCTCGGTTTGGGAGGTCTGCACAAGGGTCCTGTGGAGGCTTTATGCTCAGGGTTCCGGAACCCCAAGCCAAAATACCCCATCCCGATTGAACCTTCCTTGAGAGGGTAAACAACACATGCAGGTTCTGGAGATCTCTATAAAAGAAACCCCTAAAGGACACTTAAAGGAACCCTTAGCACAATCTTGAGGGTGTTTGGGGTTCAAGGAAACCCTAAACCTTAAGCCCTGAACCCTAAACCGTTTTTGGGGCTTAGAATTTCAGGGTCTGGTTAGGGTTCAAGGCTTAAGGCTGAAGATAATAACCCCTGCTTGTGGAACCAGTTTAATACACGGTTTAGGGTTAAGGGTTTAGGGGCTTAAATAAGTACTAATAACTAATACTATTTTGGGTGGTATCTTATTCTAATCACAGTATACTATACTCACTTCCCCAATAAGCTAGGGAAATAAAAGGTTAAACTTTCAGATTACTACTAAGTTCTAAGAACCCAAAAAGTTGAAAGGTTGGGTTTTGGAGAACAAAGTATAATCATAGTCTACTATAGCCGAAAGCCGTATCTCTACTTACCAAGACCCTAAGACCCCAAACCATAAACCTAAACCGATCTTAGGCGCTCTCTTCTCCAACAACCAGGCCCAAAAAAGTTCAAACTTTTCCGGATAGACTTAATAGATAAGGCCAAAAAGTTTAAAGTTCTCCTATTGGCTATCTAAGTAGGAGAAGACCCCAAACTGCTGTGCCCCAGTGGCGGAAGGTTGCTGAGAACTGCAGCTGCCATTTCGAAGCCGGGCTCCCTTTGCAGAATTCGGTCCGCCTCCCATCTCCTGGCTTCCGACGGCGGTTCGGGTTTAGGGTTTAGGGCTTTGGTGCTTTAGGGTTTAGGGTTTAGGGCTTTAGGGCTTTAGGGGTTTAGGGGTTTAGGGTTTAGGGTCCACGGCTTAGGGTCTTGAGTTTTCACACCGGGGGCTTCTTTTTGGGTTTAGGGCTTTAGGGTTTGGGGCTTCAGGGCGTTTAGGGCTTAGGGTTTAGAGTGCAAAGCTTCGAGTTTAAGGCTTTGGGTGCTATGGGTGGGTTTGTAATGATTCTGTTTTGATAAGGCTTGGGAGAAGGGCTCAGGGTGTAGTGCTTAGCGCTTTCCATGTTCTCTAGTGGTTTATGAACTGCAAACTGCTGCAAAGCTTTTGCCCCAAGCCCTAAACTCTAGGCTTGGGCTCTACTCCCTCCGAAGGGAATCCGAACCCGAAACCTACGAACAACGACGGTACACCTCAACCCCTCTAGCCCAAACTTTTAACCTATAACCCAAACTCTGCAACACTAAACCACACACTTTAGAGTTTACTACAGGGCAAAGTAATCACAAGGAGTCTTAAGGAACAACTAGCATTGGTACGTACTTATTCCGGCCCTAACCCTAAGCCCTAGACCCTA